GTAGGAGACAGAGGCCTGGTAAAACTTTTCGATCGGAAGGCCGGGACTCCCGCTTCCTTCCGATCGCAAAAGGGTCAAGCTCGCTCTGTTAGGTTACGAGGACTCAAGGTGCTTCAGGATAACGGCCTACGAGGTAAGCTCACGTTATCCTGAAGCGAGGAATCAGGCTGAGGACCTCCCACGGAGTCCTACATATACCGCGCGTGGGTGTTTTTCTCTTACGAGATTTGTCGCGGCGCCTGCGGCGCCTAGCGGCGGCGCCGCGCACCACGCTCGTCACATGGCGGGCGCGCGCGGGCTCGGCGCGCGGGCCGAACGCGCGTGCATTATGGTTAGCGTACCGCTACAGCACTCCCTTGCCAGTGGGAAACCCACGATTATGGTAGGCCTGCTTGGAACCGATCCGGGAAGTGGACTCGTCGTCCGGATCTCGTGGTTCTCGTGGATGGTTCCGTTCTGTTTTTCGGGAGTTGTGCTGGTGCCTCTTCTGTGTCGTCTGTATCGGCTAATAAGTATGCCGGTTTGACCCTGTCTATCGACACGTTGACCATCTTGTTGTTTATCTTGACTTTGATGGTCTTGTCCTTTCGCTCGATAACTTGGTATGGTCCGTCGTACGGTGGTTGTAAGATTGTCTTAGGTCCATCGTGTCGTACGAAGACGTGGCTGCTTGTGGCGAGATCTTTAAAGATGAATGTCTTCTGTGCTGCGTGGTTGGTTCCTTCCTTTGGTCGCAACCGTTCGAACTGCTGGCGCAGCGTTTTAATCAGGTGAGCTGCGTCATCAGCGGTGTTGACAGGCTCTTGGCTTAAGAACTGGCCTGGTAGCCGGAGTGTTTCACCGTAAACTAACTCGGCTGTGGTTGCGTCCAAGTCTTCGCGCCAGGCGGCGCGGATGCCCAGAAGAATTGTAGGCAAGGCTTCTGTCCATCTATCGTTTGCATGACACCTTATTGCAGCTTTTAACTGGCGATGGAATCTTTCGACCAGTCCGTTCGCTTGCGGATGGTATGCTGTCGTGCGTAGGTGTTTGCTGCCCGTCAGTTCGTTCAGCTGCTTGACAGCTGTGACTCGAACTGGCGTCCTTGATCGGTGGTGATCCGCAGGGGTACGCCAAAGCGGCTAATCCAGCCGTTGTAAAATGCTTTGG